ACGAAAGGGGGAAACAAGTTTTGTCAAAAACTTGAAACGACGGCAAAAGAGGGCAATTAATGCGCCTGGAACAGCGAATGCGTCAGACGGCGCATGTAGGCGTGAAACGACTTATAGGCGCGTCCAGAGTACGATCCAGTAAGGAGAGAACACGTGGCTAAGCGGTTGAGTTGTTATGCATAACAGCTCATATGCGTGAAGAAGCTCTTGGAATTCTTGATCTCTGAAAAAGCCTATGATGATGATCTCGGCTAGGCCGATGTACTGGCAGGAAGGAATGACATAGGTTCCATCACCTCAGAATGCTAAGGTAATAGAACCTAGGGGGCAGTTGTTGGGGATTATAATTTTTCTGCGTACCCAACACGTGGCTTAAGGGTTGACTCGCCCGAACTGTCGCAGTTCGAGGTTGCCACGTGTCTTTCGTTGTTCAATTGACCACGAGGTTATTTACTCAGCGAGAGCGTGGTTACCTTTGAAGATATCGGAATTCGAGATAAGCGGATAAGGCACAAGAGTCCTAGAAAGAGGGAAGACTACAGTTGGGAAAGGATAAGACTCTTAGGGAGTTTATCCCAATCCTACTGGGAGTCCAAGATTAATAGTAATCCTAAGTCCATTAGAGTTAGGCTCCTGTTGGGACAAGGATTGAGGTAGCTATAAAAGAGAGGCACCCCCATGGGTCTAAGGTACGCAATTTATGTTCTGAACAGTGAATTTAGCACTATTGATTATCTTTGAGAAATATACTAACTTGATCGTCGGAGTGCCCCCGGGTGGACGAACCACTGCCAGAATCTTCTCTTTCTGTTGCAGGTCAGCCAGGTGTCATCTATTCTGCCTGTTCTTTCCAGCTGAATACTGAGTTGGGCAGTGTGATCGGAAAATCACTCACACATTAAACAAAACACCAAATCGGACCATACACAAAACTCTCAAATTTCCATTTCATCAATCTGATTTCAATAAAAAGTGAATCAAGGTTTAATCGAAGAGTAGTGCAAACCCAATATAGTATACCCAAATACACACATTTACTTAAAACTTTTTTTTTTTTGATCAGCTACATTTACTTAAAACTTAACAGACAATTAAGCAATTAAAAAAAAATTGAAAATTCAAAAATCAAAATTCAAAATTCTCAAAAACCAAACAGGAAGTTGAATTGAAGAAGAAGGTACCTGTTGCAGTTTGTCGCTTGCTTTTTAATGGCTTCCATTGGATATAACATTGTACAGTTCCGTTTCACATTTCCTTTATATATATGTGTGTGTATATATAATAATAATTATTCACGTACACATGTGGATAATTGCACAGAAATAAAATAAAAAAACAAAAAAAAAACTAGAAGATTACAGAAGCTCTAGGTTTGTGCAGATCTAAAGAAGACTCTACAGGAGCAATCACAGACTCACAAGGTATGTAACGCTCTCATGAACAAAGTGAGGAGACCCAAAATGCAGAATAAAAAGAAGAGAGAGAGAGAGTGTGTCAACAAACAGTGTGGTTTTTCGGCATATATAAAAGGGCAAATTTCACACTACCGTGGTTCAGTCCATATGCAGTGTATCTCTTAATATTTGAAAATGATTATATAATCACCATGTGATTTGTGAATTGAATTATATTGTTAAATATTTTGTCTAATTTAAGAATGAGTGTCGCAATAGACTAATGGATTATATACTTATTTTTAAATTTCAAAAGATGGAATAAAGCACCGTGGCTAAATGCACTTCATTTTTTAAACAAATAATAAAAATATAGAAATATTTTAGGCTCCGTTTGGTAAGACTTTCTAATTATGATTTGAGAATATGAGTTGTATTTTGAGTTTGTGTTTTGAAATTATGATTTGAGTGTAAAAAATTTATTTGGTTATGATTTTTGAATGGGCCTGGCTTTGGTCCAGTCCACCATCGGACTGGACCGTGCTGTTGGACCCGTGGGGCCCATCACGGGTCCCGTTTTGAAAATCTGAACCGTTTAATGTATAGAACTTGTCGAGTACTATATGCCTATAAAAAATCACGTTGATCGGATATCGATAGCTATGTGATCAAAACAGTTTTTTATTAACCGTTAATTTATTCATCGTCCATTTTTTTTTATACAAAACTGATTTGATCACATAGCTATCGATGTCCAATCAACGTGATTTTTTACAAGCATATAGTACTAGACGAGTTCTACACATTGAACGGTTCAGATTTTCAAAACGGGACCCGTGGTGGACCCCCATGGGCCCAACAGCACAGTCTAGTCCAGTCCTATGGCGGACTGGACCAAAGCCAGACCCTTTTTTAATAGAGTGTTGAATTGAGTGTGAAATTGAGTTTTGAAAGTTTGATTTGACATGTAAAGTAAAAAAATTTGTTTGGTTATAAGTTTTGGAAAGAGTTTTCAAAACTTAATTCAAATTGTTATAACTTATAACAAAACATACTACTTTCACTATTGAAAATTCTGAGCAACACTCATAACCAAACTCTTTTTAAAATTCAATTAAAAAAATTTATTATTAACAGAAAATAACATTAATCAATTTTTAATTGAAAATACCACAAAGGAAATAAATTTTTTTTCAAAATAAATATTCAAAAAATTTAAATCATAAATATTTAAATAATTTAAATAATCTAAAAAATTTAAAAAGTAAAAAATTAAAATAAATATTCAAAAAATTTAAATCGTAAAAATTTAAATAATTTAAATATTCAAAAATTTTAAATAATTTCAAATATTAATATTTTAAATTTAAAAACAACTCTACACTCAAATCGTAACCAAACACATAAAACAAAAGTCAATTATGAAATTATTTTTAAAACGCATAACCAAACGCATAACTCGAAACTCCATACGACTTTCACAACTCTACACCTAAATCGTAACCAAATACATAACAAAAAAATTAAAATACTTAAAAATATTTCTATAAAATAGAGTTTGAATTTATTTTAATAAAATATTTTAAAATTTAAAAAATGAGAATCGTAATATTTTGAAATTAAAATATTTAAAAATATTCAAAAAAATTAAAAAATTAAAAAATGCATAATCTATTTAAAGATTAAACTATTTAAAATCTTAAAAAAATTAAAATATTTTTAAAATATTTAAATATCTAAAATATTGATTTGAATTGAGTTTTGAAAAGAGTTTTGAATTATGTGTTTGGTTATAAGTTTTGAAAAGTAATGATTATGTTTTGAATTGAGTTTTGAGAAATGAGTGTAGAATTATGATTTGGAAGCTCAAAACAAAAACCACACTTAAATCACTAGGTGAAACTATAATTTGAGAGGCTTATCTAACGCAGTCTTAGTCTTTTTCATTAAATCGATATCGGGTCTAATGGTGCACTTTAATCCACAATCACAAAAAGGAATTATGTAGTCATTTTCAAACGTTAGAAAGTAAAACGCACATAACTCAAATCACAGAAGGGTGAAGTTTACCCTATATATAATAAAAATAAAAATAAAAGAGTTCTCCACCCTGTCAATTAGAAGGAATATTTTGGCATAAAGTTATCTTGAATTCGAAAAATTTTGTGCTATTGTCCTCTTTTTATTCATTTTTTATTTAAAAGAAAAGAGTACAATCGGTTATTAGCTTCATTTTAAACTTTTTTTATTAATAATTGCAAGGTCTATTTTTTTGAGACAAACGAACAATAACAATTTAAAATGTTATATCATCTCTATTTATTTGTATATTTATCTATTATTCATTTATCTATTTACATCACTTATTTTTTCACATGTTATTTTTTATTTGTCTACCATACCTATCTGTTCATATCACTACCACTACTACTGTCAGCTATTGTCGCCAACTACTTCTAGTGACTTTTCCAACGGTGATCCAGTAGTCTGATAATAGTAGAGTTAAAATAATTTGAAAAAAGTTCTTCAGAATAATAATTAGTCCGTCTCCCTAAACAATTTTATTAATTATGTCATTATCATCAAAACAAAATAATTCTTAAATCTAATGCCATACATACCAAAAAGTATGAAATTTTCACAAATTTTTCCAAGGAAATAAAAAGAATTATTTATTTATTTTTTTATAACCAACAATGTTTTTTTTTTTTTTGAATGAAATAACTAACAATGTTAAGATCATCAAATTTGATACAAAGTCGTGTTTCAATCAATCGAACTATTGATCGGCACAATCTAAGATCAACAGAGTCAAATGATCAGCAAAATTTTGAGACAAAATTTATAAAATAATTTTCGTAACACCTAGATTTGCTCTTTTACAACTTTCATAACATAAAAGTATAGTATTAATATAATATATATTACGGAAGAGAATTATTAGCTGGTTGAGTCGTGCTAGGGAGCTCGAATTTGAGCCCCCGAATCCCCCTAATTCAAAAACGACGTCGTTTTTGAAATTTTTTTTTTTTTTTTCAGAAGAAGGAAGAAGAAGAAGAGAAGGAAGGAGGAGGAGGAGGAAGAAGAAGAACGGGAGGGGGCCAACAAAATCGGGGTGGAGGCGATGGCGGGGCTGCGACGACGAGTAGCGATGACGAGCTGCGATGAGGCGAGGCGGGCGACGATCGGTGGGCGGAGCTCCTCCTCTTCCCCTCTCTTCTCTCTCTCTTCTAAATTTCGGGCGAATAGCACGAGGGAGAATTAGGGGGGAAAAGCATTTTTCTTTTCTGATTGATCCATAATTTTTTTTTTTTTTTTTTGGATCTTCCACTTGCAGAGCCCCATGTGGAGCCGGGGTGCTGTGGTCAAGGGATCCCAGCACGGTTGTTGCAAAATAGAGTAATGCTAGAGATTGTAAATATTTTATTAAAAGTTTTACCAAATGTCTTACATGGGTGTGAGACCCACACAATGTGAGTCCCATGTAGATCCCACACTTATGTGAGATATTTGGTAAAACTTTTAGTAAAATTTTTGAGGCCTAGCATTTTTGTGCAAAATAATGAAAAAAAACAAATTACTCATAAATTTCCCTCTTATCTCATTTTCACTCTCAACTCTCTCTCTCTCTCTCTGGGTCTGTCTCTCTCCATCTGCATCTTCCATCTTCCATCAATGTCGAAGCCACTGTAAGTTGCTGAGCAAGTTGTTGCAGCTCTTCGTTGTTGACAAATTCACGAAGGATTGGCCGAGTCTGCACATCTACCTGCTAGGTTATTCTTCTCCCCTCCTATTGCAGCTCTTCGTTGTTGCTTACCATCCGTAATAATCTCTATTGCATATTGATGGAATTGCTTATTAGGTTTTTCTATTGCACAGGAGAACCCTTGTTTGATCTATTCCAAGTCCTCTCTTTGGTCAAGTATCCCCTTTCCCTCCTCTCTCTATATTGAGGTATTGTGGGTTTGAAATTTTTTACGCTTTTGTTTTCAAGTGGCTTGAATTGGAGCTTCTTCATTTGGTTTCTTCATTAGTGTTTTTCTTCAAGGTAAGTTTCTTCTGCGTTTTCTACTTTTCTCTAGTATCTTGCTAATTTTCACTTCCATATATGTAGTATCTTTCTCTCGAGTTTGTTTGTTTGCTGGATCTGGTAGCTTCAATGCATTTTCAAGTTTAAAAATCTCTTCTTTTTCTCTTATGCACAGCTTATTTATGTAACTTCGTTATATGTGATTATTAAGCTGAATTGATTCTGATATTCTTTCGTTGAGCTTGAACACCGATTTGATTGCATTTTGATACACACAAGCACGCATGTATGATTGTGTTCAATTTGCTAAACTTTTTGAGTGGGAACTTTTGCATTGTTACATTATTATTGAGCAAAACATGAATGAATTTGAAAATGAAACAGTTTAAACTGTCAGGTTAGTACACATGACTATAATGTAATTTGAGATACTATACAGGATCCTTCCTGCTTTAGTGTGTGGAGTTTTTTGTTGTTCATGATGCCATTTAGTAGGTTATTAACATTATGGTGGTTTGTCAACTTAGGCAAGACCATTTTCTCGATGTTTTCTATATTTCTGCTCTGTTACTGTTAGGTATTTGGCATCTCTACTCTACAAATATTTTCTTCACATGAATTGGACTATTTGTTTTGCTGCCATAGAGAGTCGTGGGAGGTGAATTTTATTCGTATAAGTGTCAGTTATAAGTTTCATATTGTACAAGTAAGACACATAGAATGGTGCAGATACTCATGAATGAAATACACTATGTAAATCATGGCTACTGAGGCTGTTCAGCTCACAGCTAAAGCCCATTACTCTGGCAAATCAAAGGAGGAAGTCACTACAGTCAACGTTCCGAGGATATTTGGTATTATTATTCTCTCCCATAAATGCCCATTTTGGTCTAATTTGAGTTAGTTCATGAAGTATGCATTCTATACATGATTTCTACTTTTGTGTGCTTTGTCATTCTTCCTTAATATGTTGTTTTTTGTTTTGAAAAAATGTTAAATGTGCTTGTGATTATGACATTTGTTGGATTTGAGATCATTTACACTCGTGTATGGTTAAAATCTGGCCGGTAGCTTAGCCAAACTGTGGGAATTTGTTGCGGGAAGATTAGATTTGTGATAACTAGTTGAATTTCAGTTGTGCAGTGAGCATTATTAAACTGAATTTATCTTCTTATTGAGTCAATGGCCTGTTCTGAATAATCTTTTTTAACTCATTTTGTAGTTTGTTATCATTTTCATTTTTCATTTTGCATTAATTGGCTACTTCAATGTCTGGACTTTTACTAGTAAATGCAAAAAATAATCTACCACTCTTTCAATTTGTGAGCTGAACTTACTGCATTTATGATGAAATCACTTGATAGGTTTCATCTTATAGATAGATCCAGATATATGAAAGCTTAAAGGAGAGTGATAAAATTTAAATAATTGAAGATGCTTGTGCATAGTGTATCCCTTAAAGTTGAAAACCGTTGAAAGAGAGAATAATTCCTTTATGGATCCAATAGGGCTGTGAATTGTTTACTCACTGTTTTAGATAATTCAAAGTACACAGATTTTGGATGCAAAGCTGAGGTTCACAAGTGGCGCAGAACGAGTAAAAAAAATTAACATTAGCTCATATTCAAAAGTGGTGTAGTTCAATAGAAATAGAACAAATACAGGTGCTGCATACTACATACTCATCAAGTGTGCAACTCATCCCATTGCCTAGTTTAATTGAAGCACTTTAGGAATTGGATTTGAACAATGCAACTGGAGGCCTTTAAACAATGAATGTTTTATAGTTTTTTGTTTCTTTTCTTTCTGTTTTCCCCCTCCTTCAATAGGTGTTGACTCGAAGTTTGAGTATAAAATAGATGCAAAATTATGATGGACCTCATGGTTTCAACTATGAGTCTTCTTTTACACTCTTTATTTATGTGTTTTTCCTTTCCATTTATTTGGTAAGTAAGCATTTCATTGATGCTAAATCTGGATTTTCCTACAACACTTGAATATTATCATTGGAGTCACATAGCTCTATTGTCACATGATATATCTAAGACTTTCATATGTGTTGTCTTTATGTAGTCAATAAGTGTCGAACACGGACACACTACCCTTTTTGAAGTGGCTGTTTTCTTAGGAAGGATTACTGCTCTTTTTCAGATCGCTTACATATATACAAGAAAACGTTGGTATGCATTTTGGTTTTATTGCTCCATTGTCATATAAAATATTAGTTCTATATCCCTATGTAGCAAATCTTCCTTGAGTGGTCTAAAAGTAAGTTTTAGTATATTTTTTCTATTTAGTTATCGTTGCGTATGATCAATGGTGGAGCCGAGAAATTAAATCAGAGGGGGCACTTATTAATTACAACGTTGAAAATTTTTACAAAAATATTTCACATAAATTTTTATGATTGACTTCAAGAAAGATTTTAAAAAAAAAAATGTTATTTGTAACTAGTGTACTATAGACAATATAAAAATAAAAAAAAGTCATGGATATAAGTTTTAAAATAAATTATATAACGGTAAAGTAATTTTTTATACAAAATATGAGTAAAAATTCAATATAATAGTAATATTGCATCAACATTGACATGTGATATCACTAATCAATAGTAAACACATGGAGGATGAACTCCACATGTCAAAATGTAACTAACAATTTAATAAATTTCATATCTTTATTGAGATTAATTATGTTTGCATATCAATAATAATAGACATCACTATTATATTAAAATTTTCATAAATAATAATATGACTTATCGTAGTCTCGTTGTTTTCAATCAAAACAACCATTATTGTTATCATAATTTAAAAAATGTCATTGACATTTCACTCTAAATAATATTTTTATAAATTTTTTTTTATTTAAAATATTTTCTTTATGTTTGCAAAAGAAAAAAAAAAATTCAAAAACCCAAGAGGGCACGTGACCCCCCCCGACCCTCTTTACCTCCGTCCCTGCGTATGATTCATTTTCTCTTTGATTTTGTTGCAATAGGATGATCATAAAATATCTGATGCCAGTGAAGCTTTCAATAGGCATCCTACCTGAGTTTTCACTCTTGGAGAAGTATAACCTGCTTGAGGTATAGGGTCTTTTCTAATTCTTCTTTCTTTTTTTCACATTTTTGAATATAGAACTATATATATAGAGCCGTGTTTGCTTTCAAGTGTACTATCATATGATATAATTGCCTTTTGCTGTTCAAAAAAAAGAAAATTGCCTTTTGCACAAAAAAAAGAAAGAGGAAAAGAAAATCATATGAGCACACTAGAAGCATGATAATATTGAAGGCCTACTTTTGATAGTATTTTTCATTAGTGAGCAACAGATCTGAACTCTAGCTCTACTTTCAGATGTATCGGAACTTTTACTCTCTATATATATTGATAAAAGCTTTAACTTCAGATACATTTGAGGGGCAAGATTTCTTTCACACTAGTGCAATGTTGATATCCTTTATTCTCTTAGGAAAATATTTTGAGGTAATGTCATGTCAGAGATAGAAATCAGCACTCAACTACTACAGAGGAATGACATTTCGAGTATCGTTCCAGAGGCAAAGGTTCCTGTTGATGGTATTGTTATTAATGGTCAGAGTCATGTGAATGAGGGTATGATCACAGGAGAAGCAAAGCCAATTGCCAAGAGACCCAGTGACACGGTTCAGATGGTTTATTTTCTCTTAGTAGTAAAATTGATACTTTTGACATTTTTAAAATGTTTAATTTAATGGAAATATATATATATATATATATATTTATAACATCATGAACAGGTTATTGGTGGCACACCCATGGATGAATGTAATCCATTGTACGGCACCATTCATATGCCTTTTCTATTCAGAATAAACAAATTTGACAAAATGATTCAATTTTGTGTTTTTTTTTTAATAAATGGCATTTGAAGAGTCTCTTTAAATAATTTAATGCAATGATGAAATTTAAACAGAAGAACCAAAAAAATGAAGGCAACACTCTGAAATCACCGTTCTTTTTCCTTTTTGTTGGTGACAATATGCAGATTCAGTACTGCCCAGAAATTAGACAAACTTGGAAAGTTGACCCTAAGGTGTTGCATAATATCATATTCTGCTTGCCTTTTTATTTTTCTTTTAATTTTTTTATGTATTTTATTTTTGCAATCCGAACAGTTTAAAATCATATTGTTGTTTCAAAGTCCAAAATCTGGCAAGGGAGCATTGAAATTGATGTTTATTTTCTGATTCGAGTGTTTATTTTCGGACCATATTTAATATTGTAATCTACAGACTACAGTTATCAAAGATTCAATGAATAGTAACATCTACAACCACTCTGTCCTAATCTTAAAATTTTTTATTTTTTATTTTTGGTGATGTGGGATTTCATTTTTCCTTTGTTTAACAGTCTGTTTTTAGTTCTAAATGCAAATTAACTATTCATAGAATCATACTCACTTCTCTATTTTCACCTGCAGAGGGCAGTGAGTATCACTCCATCAACAGCACATCAACTGATTCAGGTACCAAATATTAGAAGCTTTTAGAATGTCAATTATAACTCCACTCGCAATCATACTATTATTTACCAGATTCCTGAAAATGACTGTAAAACATGAATCTTTCATGAGATCTCTTTCTTTGTGTCAGTAAAACATGAATGTTGCCTTGTCCTAGTGTAATTTGTGCTATTAGTTCACAAGGCAAGAGTTATTCTCTTGGGAAATTGAAACTCGATGCAATAATTGACTCATTTTGCTTGTTGACATCCCATTTCTTTTCCCTATTCTACATTGATTCTGGAACCTTTTTTTTTTTTTTTTTTTTTTTGTTTTTGATCGGCAAAAGAAACGAACTTCATTGACAATATCAACATACACTAAATATGGAATTACATCAATAAAGCAGAGGCAAAGAGCAACAAGTATCATAGTGATTTCCTTAATCCCAACTAGATTGGCACCAAGAAAAGCACCCTATCATCTGCTAGCTCGAACCAAGAAGTTGGTGAGGGACCAACAAGACTAACAAAACAACCAAGGCAAGCCCCAACAGGCACCTAGAACAACAATGACAGCAACAATAATAAACTAGCAGCAAGCAGCACAAGAAACTTAATATCTCAACCCGATCTATGCTTACCCTTTTGAGTTGAACTTAGCCCATAAAGCTATTCTTACTCTCACCAATTCTTTTAGCTCCTCAAAATCAGGCTGGCCTTCATTAAACAAGCACTCATTTCTGAGCTTCCAAATAGACCACATTACAGCTAGAGGGACAATCTTCCATATACTCAGAACTGATTTCTTATACTTGACACCTGACCACCACAGCATCAGATTCTCAATGGAGCCAGGAATAGCCCACTTCAATCGCTACCAATTGATTACATCAGATCAAATTTTCCAAACCAATGAGCTAAATAGCAAAATATGATTCACTGATTCTTCATCTATTCTGCAGAAATGGCACAAAGTGATAGCAGAATTATTCAGTAGACCAATCCTCTGCAAAAAAACAGAGGTTTTAATCCTCCCCCTCCAAGCTAACCATCCAAAAAATTGCACTCTTGGAGTGGCAGCATTGAGCCACAGACAATTTGAAATTCTGAGGATAGGACCTCTAGTTAGCTCCCCCCACTTCCACACTGAAGCTACACTAAAAGATCCTGATGAGTGGGCTAGCCACTTGCAAGAATCCTCCACACCATTGTTAACATTTGGTACATCGGCCAGTAAATCATATAATCTGTGCACCTCTCCCTCCTCCACACCATTGATTCTGGAACTTTTTAGTTTAACGATATACATAGGAAGTTGAAAATTTGATGTTCTGTATCTGTCCTCCTTTCATTTCACTTTGCCATAACTAGTTTACCAGTAGAGCATTGAAACTGATATGAAGTTTAACGGTCCATATATTTTGTTTTAATCCATGAGAAAGAAAATAGATTCATTTTGTAAAAGAAAAAATATATTGAATATAAATATTTGGTTTCGGCAATTGTTAATTGCTTTTGTTGTTGTGTGTTTGCACTCGAATGTATGTGGGAGGTTTCATTGTTTTTTTATTCTGCTGTCTAATGGTTCATGGACTTCTTTGTGGGTTCTAACAATACATCTTATGATTTACCCTATGGTGTTTAGGGCAACAAAAGAAATGATACAATCTGCATTGCACTTGCTGATGACACTTGTGATCAACCAAAGATTAGGATGAATAATGTTGTTATTACTCCATCATTCAAGGTACTCTCTCTCTCTCTCTCTCTCTCTCTCTCTCATGTTCTTTCTCTATTTCTTCTCTGCCTTCGTTTCTTCTTGGTTTTCAGTTTGAATCTGCTCCTAGAGCAATGTTAATTTCATTGCTGTTTATAGCATAGCTAAATGAGTTGGAGTTTGGAAATTTCCATCATTCTTTAGGCTTTTGGAGTCCATGTCATATGTTGAAATGGCATCCACATCTGAAATCAAGGTTTCTGTTGCCTTGATGATAAATCTGAACTTCCCATAACACTGGTACTGACCGTTCTACTCTGTTATTATTGATGCTAAATCTGGATTTCTCATAACACTTGAATTTCCTCCTAACTGTACTCAGCAGAATATTGAAAGTTAGTTAATGTTGTTTTTTTGGAGTATTTACTTTTTTTGCATGTTAGATATTGGGATTGTTCACTTGCAGGATGCTAATTAATCTACTTTGGATTTACAGATTTTATTGCATTGTGCATAATGCTCGAGCTAAATTTGGCAATTTTAAGTAGAAACACTCTAATTGGTATCACAGTTTTGAGACTAAGCATTTTATTACTAACATTTTAATATTGTAATTTTTTTCATATGTTTGACAGATTGGCGATGGATGGAACATAATTCGGGAAACATCAAAGGATTATATTTTGAATTTTTGAATATATTTTATTGTAGGATTTTGTTATGAATTTGCAAGTTTGGAAGTTTTTTTGAAATTCATTGTGACATGTTTGAAGTTTCGGATTGTAAGGGATTTGTACTTATGCTGGATGTTTTGAATATGATATTTTAGTTATGTTTAATATGCCTGTTACTTTTTAATTAAGTTTATATTTTGGATGCTTTGCACAAGTGTGTTAATTTGTTTTGATTGCATGTATGTGTAGAAATGATGCACAAAAGTAGGTTTGGGTTTGGATTATTTTTTTATGAATTATGTACTGAACAGGGAAATTGTAAAAAATATATATATATAAATAATGAATTTTTGGTGATAGATTTTTTAGTTGTGAATTTACTTTTGGTGACACTTTATTTTCGTTGCTAAAAGTCTATGTTGAATAGGATATGAATTTTTACTTGATTGGTCGGCAAAAGATTTGACATTTAGCAATTAATTTGTTTCGGCGTTGAAAGATACTTTGGCGATGCATTTATATGTTGCTAAAACCTAACATATCATCTGACTAAATGTTAATTTTCAGCGATGAATTTTTTGGTGTTTGACGACTAAAATATTTGGTCGCCGATTTATTTATAAGGTGATCACAATTTATTTGGTCACTAAATTATTTAGTGACATAGCTTCAGCAATCCAACTACGAAAATTACACTTTTGGTGACTAACAAATACGTCGCTAAAAATGCTTTTTTCCTGTATTACAATAACTAAAATTTGCCCAGTATAAAAAAAAAGATTTTCCACTTGATCAATTTTGAGGGATTTTTTGGGGTATAAAGTTGTCTTTGTGAATTCGTAAAGTTTTGTGCTTTATTGTCCTTTTATCTTCTATCTATTTATAATTTTATATATGTGAGCACTGAATTTGGTGTTTAAAAGCAAGGGCTGAACTCAAGAATCTTAGGTTTCATTAAAAATATACTTACCATTTAAGCAACTAACATATTATGATATTGATTAATTTATTATTTATTTTTATTTTTATTTATCTTAATTGCACACATGTTGCACGTACCACCTGCTAGTTCATCTTTTATTTTAAAGAAAAGAAAGAGTGAACTCGGTTATTATGGAAAAGACTATGGTACACTACTTTAGAGTGCGTACATATATAACTTATAATTAAAGAAGAAAATGATATAATTTCATACTTTTTGAGTCATAATTAAAAAAAAAAAAAAGGTTAAAACCAAGCACCACATGATGCATAATAAAAAATTTCATGAGTTATAACTAAAATATTGTCATAACTAAAAAAGAAAATGACTAAGGATGCATAATATGGTACACCCTTCCAGGGGTGTGTATAGTAAAATTTCCCATTAATTTCATTTTAAGCTTTTTTTGATTAATGATCTCAAGGTCTATTCTTTTAGGAACAAACAAACAATAATAATTTAAAATGTTATATCATTTTTATTTATTTGTATATTTACTTATTATTCACTTATCTATTTACATCATTTATTTTTTTACAGGTCATTTTCTATTTGCCCACCATGCCTATCCATCCATATCATCACCATCATTACTGCTGGCCGTTGTCATTAACCACTTCTAGCGATTTTTTTGACTGTTATCCAGTAATTTGGGGGTAGTAGAGTAAAATAATTTTAAAAAAGTCCCTCAAAATAACAATTAGTCATTCTCACTAAATAATTTTATTAATTATGTCTTATCATCAAAACAAAATAATTCTTAAATCTAATGCCATAAATACCAAAATTTTTGAAATTTTCCCCAAATTTTCCAAGGAAACAAAAGATTTATTTATTTATTATATATATATATAACCAACTATGTTTTTTTTATCTACTGACATTTCGAAGTTTGACCTTCCATAAATTAAATCAAAATATTTGGAAGATTCCTAATTTTTATCATGAATTTTAAAATTTTAAAAGTAGTTATTAATGGTATTATATAGTAATATAGTAAGAAACAAGTTTTAATTTTTTTTAAAGGAAATAAAAATCAGTGAGAGATGATTAGGTTGGAAAAATGTGGAATATTTTGTTATCTTTCATTTTGAAAACTATAAATTATGAAATTATTAATATTTTGAGAACTATTATTTTAATGGATTAGCCAAATTAAATTTATTTTTATTCAATAAATTTACAAATTTATTATGAAGTTTTAGAACTCCCACAATATTTCTCACGAAAATCTCCTTTAACTCATATAATATATATATATGTATATATATAATTTATAATTTAGGCATAAATATTAGTACATATGAATGTACAAAACAAATCAAAAATGAAAAAAAAAAAAAAAGTGTACAAAAAAATTAAATGTGTGTAATTAAATCAAAATAATTAGAAGGTTTCTAATTTTTATCATGAATTTTAAAGATTTGATAATCTATTTAATAAGGGAGAAGTGTTTTTGAAAATGTATAAAATGTATAAGAGACACATTTCCTTTGAATGACTCAGATCAATTCTAATATCTATCCATGGCTCAGATCAATTTTAATATCCACACATTTCCTTTGATGTTCCTGCCCAACATGGCTGTTTCTCCACTCTCCTCTCTCAGTATCTAACCTCTGTATCTAACATCTGTCTCCCCATCACAAATGATTTGCCTCCCCATCTACCCTCTGTCTACCCACCTTCTCTCTCTATTTCTCTGCCTACCCTCTCTATCTCTCTCTTCCTCTCCGTTCTTCTTCTTGATTTTTTTTGAAAATCTCAGCTTTTGCCTTCATCACAGCCTTCACCGTTGTTCAAATCAGAGCCTTCATCAGAGTCTTCACCAGAGCCTTCATCAGAGCTTACACCGTTCCACTCTCACCGTTGTTCACTCCGGCTCGACATCACTTCGGCTGCTGGGTTAGTTTATCACTTTGGCACTGGGTTAGTTTTTTTTTGCTGGGTTAGAAGAATAATAAAATTGACTTAGGTTGACTGATTTCCTGTTTTTTACACCGTGCCTTGAGTAAAAATTAAAGACTACTCATGTTAATAACTCATGCTAAAATAACTCAATCTAAGAGAAAGACAAAGAAAGTGTTGTTGAATGAATTATAAGTGCAACTGGAGTTAAATGTGTGGGGAATTGGAACGCATAGTATTATACATAACAATTTGACTTCCTGTAGTCATCAAATTCTGAAATCACAAAATCAAATTTGACTTCCTGTAGTCATGAAATTCTGAAATCAAATTTGACTTCCTGTAGTCATCGAGTAAAATAATAACAATTTGAACACAATGGAACACACGGTGTAACTCAGTCAATTTTATATATAACAATTTGATTTCCTGTAGTCATCGAGTAAAATAATAACAATTTGAACACAATGGAACACACGGTGTAACTCAGTCAATTTTATATACAACAATTTGATTTCCTGTATAGTGCTAAAATAACTCATGTTAATAACTCATGCTAAAACAAAGGAAACAGAATTTCAATACCTCGTGTTATATATGTATAGTGCTTTTATTCGTGGTGCTTTATGTATAGTGCGCTATGTATAGAATTTATGTGCAGTGCTTTATGTATAGTGCTTTATGTACAGAATTTCAATAACTCATGTTATTAATAACTCATGTTAATTTCAAAATTTCAATAACTCAAGTGTTATCTTATGTTAATTCAGAATTTCAATAACTCATGTGAGTCCTTGGAAGCTATCTCCTTATTCTCACCTTCATTGGCATCTACATATATTGACTCTTTGTTGATTTCAGAATTTTTTTCCGGATTATAGTCAGAATTTCAATAACAGAATTTTTTTCCGGATTATAGTCAGATACAATGTGCTTTCAATTACTCTTTGTTGTATTTTTTTTAGTCAGATACAATGTGTTATCTCCTCTATTATTGAGTTTTCCTCTATTATTGTGTTCCTTTATTCCTTTAGTCAAATACATTGTGTTCCATTGTGTTCCTTTATTCCTCTACATTCTGTATATGATCTCATTTTACTGGGTTTGTTTTTGGCTCAAGGTTCTGTCTGTTTTTGGCTGTCTTCGGCTCCCTTCGAACTCCCATTCACAAGGTAAGACTTCGAACTCGCTGTTGTGTTTTTCCCTTTTTGAATTCTGAATTTTGAATATTTTGAATTTTGAATCCTGAATGAGTTTTTGGGATTCTGAATTTTGTACTTTGAATTCTGAATTATGAATTTTGGCCCTAAGTTCACCTAAATTCTGGTTTTCGGCCCGAATAACCTTATCCGCAATTCCAGATTGATTGATTACACTAGCAGATAAATAGCTATACTTCTTCTGACTGATAGCTATACGTCTTCTTCTTCTAAAATTATACATTCTACTAACCGAAATTTGTTAAAATTATATATGTTTGTAGCTTGAATTCAGAATTTAGGTGATAGTTAAATTCTGCTGTCTTCGGCTGCCTTCAAACTCCCACTCTTGAATTCTGAATTTTGAATTTGTTGTTTAAATTAGTTGCAAGTCTTATACTGCAATATTTTTTGTTGCAGTATTTCTTGAGTTGCTGTGTTGTTGTTTAAATTATCTCTTGAGTTGCTGTGCTGTTGGTGCTGTTGTATATGATCTCATTTTTTGTTGGGTTTGTGTTCAAGTAAAAATGTATGTTATTTTAAGTATGAATGTCCATTTATTTTATTTAATGCCATTCACTTAGTTTTACATGGCTCCATGTATCCCCTTGCACCCAACAATATCACTTATTTTTTAATTGAAATCAGGAACTTGAACTTGAAACAGGAACTTTGCTCGGCTGCTCGGTTAATTTATTGCTTTGGCAACGTTTGGCTGTAGCTTCTGTTATTGCTTTGCTTTGATATTGAGCCAACTGAGTAAAACTGAAGAAGAATTCTGCTCAATGTGTTTTCTTATCACCAAAGAGCAGTTGCAAAGGTTATGTTTTTTATCACCAAAATCACCAAATTCTGCTCAATGTGTTTACTGTCAACTATTTATCACCAAAATCATAAATTTTGGTTCAGCCAAAAATTCTACTCAATGGATTTTTCAAATTAGTTTGGTGTTATACACTAGAAAATTGGTTTCAAAAAAGGTTTTTACAGATGTGCTTTGATTTTTCTATGTTTGTTATTTAAAATGAAATTCAGTGCTCTTAAAAAAATAGATAATCTGGACAAATCATGTGAATCATGT